TCTATATCCACTCTCCCTCATTTAAAATATTCATATTGATTAATGAATAGTTAAATATGGTTAATATTTAATCCTACTTGTATTCAATGAGTATTAAATATTGTTATTGCCAAAATTAATAAATACGGTTAGTAAATTACCAAAAATTAATAAATATTGTTATTAATCAACTCGTTAACAACATTTTATAGAAATTGAAAACTCTTTAACTAATTTGTATAAAATTGAGAATTATATTTAACAATTATCAAAAAGTATAAAATTTTATTTATTGTTATTATTATAATTAATAATCAAATACAAATAGGGGAACAAAATATTATAGTGTTAGAAAATAAAATTATTAATTAATTTATATTGAAAAATAAAAGATAAATTAGTGTAATTTTGTTAGTAAACTACCAAATAAGAAAATATATTTAATAATAATTTAAAAAAATTCAATAAATCCACATAGTTACACAAATGTAATAAATTTTTCATAAAACTAAATTTTTGTAAAATAACATTTTTGAAATTAAAAGATATAAAGTATTTGAAAGTTTATTTAAAATGCATTAAATAATTATTGAAAAATATTAAAATATTTTAGAAATTTTAGGAAAATTATTACATTTGATAGATTTTGGAAAATCATTGAAACATTATGTAATTTTCATGGAAAATTATTGAAAATTATTAAAGATAAATGACCATGAGAAATGGAAAACTATAATTTGAACAAATAATTACCCAAATTATTCAGATAAGTTAGTATAATATTGGAAAAAGGAAATTATTGGTTAGTTTATATTATAAATTATAAAATAAATTAGTATAATTCTGTAAGTAAACCGTTTAAAAAGAAAATAAATTATTTAATAAAAAATTAAAGAAATTTGAACAAATTTTCAAAATCACACAAGTACAATAAATTTTCCAAAATTTCCAGAAAATTACATTTTTGAATATTAAAGATGATTTTGTAAAATTCCAATGAAACATACAACCATGCAAATCTCAATTATTATGTTTTCTTCTTTAATGGAATACTTTACCTCTTCTCAAGAAAATAATATTATCCAGATTAAGTCCATGATCATGTCCAACTTAGGAAAATAAGTGCATCACAATTTTCCTTACACATATGTGATGTAATTTCAGTTCAAAATTGCATCTATATACCCCTCAATTATAATAAATAGACTTAAACTTACCCAGTAAAATTATGAGTGGTGCAATCCACCACACATTCGTGATCTTTGTCCATGTTAAAGAAGGAGTAGTTTTCACAGCTTAATTCTTTAAACTGTGCATTCACCAGGAAAAAAAGAAAAACAAAAACAATGCATCAACGTGCAATAAAAAGGTATCAGACAATTAAACAAACAAACTTTGAGTAAATAAAGCAATTAACAAGGAATTAAGCCCAAACTGCACAACATCATCAAACAAGGAATTAAGCCCTAATCCTCATGAACTATATACTAGGACAGGTTTGGAAAATAAATACCAAATAAAGAAACCATAACCCTAGAGATAATAGATTCAAACCAATGATGAGAGGTAGTTAAAGGATAACTATTTCCGGAGAGAATGATTACAAGGTCGTAGGTTTTGATGAATCTACAACACATATAAGCCCTGAGCTCATGGACAAAGCTCGTTGGTATCTATGCAATGCTTCCCATTGTCTAAAAATGTCCATGAGGTTTAGAATTGATAAAAAAACTTTGAAGCAAAAAATGAGTCAATGAAGAAACTCAAAAGGGACCGGTCAATAAAGAAGGAAATATGTATTGTATTCATTTTTCTCAACAGTCAAAGATTGGAAATGAATTTCCTCACATATTTGGTTACAATAATCAAATACGAGATACTATAAAAAAAATGAATTTGCTTTTCTCGTTCTATCCATTCTCGATGACCAAATGAAGTATAAGCTATTAGACCAATAAATACCCTAGACTATATAAACTTACTGTCACCTCTTTTTTTTATTCATAATCTCTTTTATTCTCCCTTGCAATATATTTTTCTTCTCTACTATTATTGTTTTGTTATAATTAATAAAATTAAAAATTTAAACAACTAAACATTTGCAACTTGCTTGTGTTGAAACCAATGTGTGGCAAATGCTATTTTTGTGATTGTATTTGTTGGCATTATAATAATGATTCAAATGTAAATTTTGCACTCATTTTAATTTTGCTTCTTAATGTTTGTAGCAATTAATTTCTCTCACACTTGATACAAAACTTATTACTTTCGCCTCGTTTACACTCACTGGTAGTGTAAATTTTGCATCTCAAAAATTAATGCAAATTTTGTACCATCTTCTTCCTACATCAATTCTCTTGCATATATGGTGGGACCATATCATGTTATTTCCAATTTTATAAAACAATGTCAAATTTAAAAGTTTTTTTTTTTTAATGTAAATTTGATTTTGTACTTAACCTATTTGCATTGTCATTGCATTCTCATGCATTCACAGTAATGCAAATATGTAAACAGCTACAATCAATAGAATAACTGACTTTCAACTTATTGCGTTTAAAAACATACTCATTCAATTTGATTATTCAAAGTGTTATGAACTTGCATATGTGTGATCCCTCTGATTACATAACCTCTCTAAGTCACCATAAATAATTTGTAAAGCATTTATGGGGATTAAGCTTGACTCTTGTTAAGCATGAGTCGTTGGATGGTGATAATGGTAATGACGAGGAGGAAGAGCACCAATAATTGAGTAAACCAAGGAGCTTTTTTACATAACTAAATCATATTAATTGACACATAGAGATATTATAGTAGATTTATGCTGCTACTTTGAGAATAGACCAATTGGAATGTGATGTATGTTCAACTTCACAATTCATATCAGCCATAAAATCATTGCCGCTCAACTTTTAAAAATTCAAACATTAATAAATCATACTAAATTTGAAGATTCTAGTTGGATTTCTTTTTGGTATTATATAGTTGGGAATTAAGGGTAGGGACAAAATTGGGTGTACATAAGGCTCATTGGCCTTAATATGGAGAGCTTGTTGTTTTGTAGGTTTGATCTCACATCTGTAATTTCAAATGAATGTGAATTGATCTTTTCATCTATATGGATACAAACAAAATAAATTGAATTCAAATATGGGCGTATCATCCAAATTCAATTCGATAGGACTTGAATCTGATAGGCTATGCGATACCAAAATTCAAATTCAATTTGACAAATTATCAAGCATTTTAGAACAATTATATTTTGATTCAATTCATTTGATAAAAATTGAAAAGGAATAATAAAATCGAATAAAAAACAAGAATATAAGGGTTTTGGGGGTTAGGGTTATATTTGATAGCAAAAGCTAAGTCTCTCATATTTGTTTTAAGATGAGCTTTTCACATTAGGGTTGCATTTAAGGATAACAAGCATTGAATTTGTATTTGAAGAAAAAGAACCACTTGATCTTGAAATCGGTTGCCTATATGGTTCTATTTTTTACCACGAATTGTCTTTTTTCTTGCCAAAAAAATGTTGAATTGCTTAGCGAATTGTTGATTTGGATAGTTTGACCATTGAATTGTTTGGCCTAAGCAATGGCTAGCAATTCAACAAAAAGAACATCCATTTTTTAGGAATAAAATATTAGAAGGTAAAAAAAATTAAAAACTAGATTTGTGATTAAAGGGGAAGATCTCAGATCTCATACGAGAGAGAGAGAGAGAGAGAGAGAGAGAGAGAGAGAGAGAGTTGGGCTTTAGTTTAAGTTGTTTACCATCCATTGAGCCATTGCAACACCAACAACGATGAATAACTTAACCTGGAGCATAATCGCTGCCACTTTAGATCTTAGATGTTTTTCTTCTTATTATTTTCTTAGTTGTTTATCACTCTCTACTCCAAATATTCGTTAATAAATACGTGATACATTACCCTAACATTCTACTCATAGTGCTAAGATGTAGAGTACATTAGATATTTGATTCAATGGTTTGAACTGTGCACTCGTAGTGCTAAGTCGTTTATCACTCTCCTTCACATTCACCCTGCAGAGGTGCCATGTCAGAACCCTCTTATGCATGAATTTCATGTGTAAGTGGGATTAACAGACGTTTCAAATGCCTTCCACTCCTATCCCGTTTTTAATATATTGAAATTTATACTAACTTTTAAAACAAATAAAAAACAGGGGTTAAGGGTACATTACCCTAACATTCTACTAGTGCTAAGATGTAGAGTGCATTAGATATTTGATTCAATGGTTTGAACAGTGTATTAGATATTCCATGTTGGTTTAAAACGCTGCCTTAGGGCTGCAAAACAACAAGCACTAATGAACTAGCAACAATGCTTATTGAGGTGGGATGGTATTTGGCAATTGGTGGCAAAGATGTTTATGGCAAAGTGTTCTCCATTTTAGTTTTTTTCTTCATTACAAAACTAACAACTTTGTCCTTATTTGAAGTTTGTTTTGATGAATGCAAGGTTATACATAAATTTTATTTGATCCTTAAAGGAAAATGAAGAATCAAATCAAGGATATATTCGAATTCGATTCGATAGCTATGTTTGGTTTGAGAGAAAAGGTAGAATGCATGTTTCCTTACTTTTTTTTTCTTTTAAACCAAACACAGGGCAATTAAATCATATTATTGGATCCAAATTGAATTTATTAAGCCTTACTTATATTCGAATGCGGATATAAACGGATCAGATTTGAATCAACCCGATCAAATTTTGATTAATTTGCAGCCCTACCATCTATCAACAGGAGGCTAGTTGGTGGGATTAGGATTTTGAGGTTGGTCTCTGATCTTGGTGGGTTGGACTTGGGTTGGAGCCTCATGTAGCCTGAATGGGTCTAATCCAAGCCTTGTCCAGTTGGGCTTGAGCTTGGCCCAAGTTTGTTAGTTTCTCATCGGGCTGGGATCCATGATCGGGTTGCCCGACCCGGCCGATCACGTTGCATTGTTTCTAAACCCTAATGTTTAATTGGTGATAAAACTCGTCAGAGCCCTCTCCACTGCAGAGACAACTCTTTGTTGATCCCTGCTGTCATTGGCTTCTCCAAACCCTAATCGCGAGATTTTATAGTTCGGAACCTCAGAATTTTGATCGAATCGTGTTTGATTGGTGAGTTGTGTTTGTTGCTCGATTGGGATTTTGGGTGTTGCGGAGATGGATATTCCTAGTCTTGCCATGGTTCTTCAAGCAGCTCTTAGTCCCAATCCGGATGAGCGAAAAGCTGCAGAACAGAGCCTCAATCAGGTAAAGTTTAATCGATTTTGGTTTTGACCTCGAAATCTGTTTTGTTTAGTATTTTTTTTTTTAATTTTTTACTTTTATTATCGACTGAAATCGATATTGATTCGATGGACATGCTTTTGACAGAGAACAATTTTTACTTTTGATTTTATTATTTTCGTTAATCAAGTAATTTTTTATTCTTCTTTTTTCGATTTTAATGGTTTTGTTGGTTGTAGCAACCCATGTAGAATAGTCACATAATTCTTCTTGGGTGTTCTTCATTAAAAATTTCGTTGTAATAGGTTTGTTTTAGTGTTTTACTTCAAAGGTGAGATTGAAGTAGCATATCTATCTTGGCTCCAAATTGTACCCTTCAATTTGCATCTATTGTAGGTGTAAGGCCAACAAGTAGTTGTTGCTCCTAAACTATAAAAAGTTTATTTGATGTTATTTAATATGATTTTCTTTTGTGGTATACTGTTTTGCAGATCCAGTACACTCCGCAGCATCTAGTGAGACTGTTGCAGATCATTGTAGATGGAAATTGTGATTTGGGCGTGAGGCAAGTTGCAAGTATTCATTTCAAGAATTTTGTGGCGAAACACTGGTCACCTCATGAGCCTGGTATAGTATTTCGATTGCGTCTAATTCCTGGGCTATTGATTTGTCGAGCATTAGTGCTTATCTTTTTTTGTCATTGTAGATGAGCAGCAGATCTTGCCAGGTGATAAGGACTTGGTGAGGCAGAACATTCTTGTTTTTGTTGCACAAGTTCCACCATTACTAAGGTACAATTATTAGCTGATTTGTTTTACTTTTATGTACGACATGTGAATTCTTATATTTTATAAAATTCCCTGTAGCACTAAACTTATGGGTTAGTGTTGGTACTCGTTCTTTTTGTTGGGACCAATCATCACCTGCAACTTAACTGCAAAGTTCTGCAGCATGGATGGTTTTTTGTTATGATATCATGTTTTTTGTTATACAGGGTACAGCTTGGAGAGTGCCTCAAAACGATCATCCATGCAGATTACCCAGAGCAATGGCCTAGCCTCTTGCAATGGGTTAAGCATAACTTACAGGATCAACAAGTGTATGGAGCTTTATATGTGCTGAGGATTCTTGCTAGGAAATATGAGTAAGTATATGCTTCTATTTATTATCTTACATGAGTTCATTTATTTACTTGTATGCTTTTTCAGCTGCCACATCTAGTGACATGATGTGCAAATTGGGAAGTGAAGTTGTGATGCATGTAATCAGTGTAGACACTTGTTTGGCATGATCGTAGAACAAACAAGCTGCAGAAATTAAAAAAAAAAAGTGACTATTCTTTATCATGCACACTACGCATCCTAAATGATGTATTATGTTAGAAATCATGTACAGATATATGCCATATGCATGCATACCTAATTACCTACTGCCGCTGAACATATCTATCCTTCCAAGTTGCTTAAGCATTTGAAATTGAAGAGATTGTACAAATAAATAGATAGAAGTTGCACATTTTCTGACGCACGTTTTTAATAGTTGCATGCATGGTTTCTGATTTCTTTGGAGTGAATTGATTTGTGTATACCTCAAGGAGTGATTCTCTTTTACATTTATTTGTGGTTCCTTTTTGATATTGTCTTAGAGGTTGTATAATGATGTTGAATGCAGAGCATTCTCTCAACACTCTTGCCTAGTATATTCTTGTTTTGATGTTAATAAAGTTTTATTTTTCTTTAAAAAATAAAATCTTTTGGTACTTGTTTGTCCTTTACCTTCTTATTCTTAGTCGAATTTGTTAGTTATAATAAATCTATATGAATTTGGTTGTTTATTTTTGTTTAGTTATAAGTAATGTTTGTATTGACACTGTAATAGGGGACCATTACAAATATGCTGTACAATATATGATGGCTTTATGCTTAAACAACTCTTCTTTTCTTGGATGAAGGTTTAAGTCAGATGAAGAGAGGACACCTGTATATCTCATTGTCGAGGAGACATTTCCCCATCTGCTCAATATATATAATAGACTTGTTCAGATTGTTAACCCTTCACTGGAAGTAGCAGATTTGATCAAACTCATCTGCAAAATTTTCTGGTCATCCATATATGTATGTCTAGCATGAAAGTTTCTTCCATTGTTCTTTCAGCGTATTTATTTGAGGATACTCATTATGTTTTGGCTTCACCGTTTTCAGTTAGAGATTCCAAAGCAGCTGTTTGATCCAAATGTATTCAATGCATGGATGATTCTTTTTCTAAATATATTGGAGAGACCTGTTCCTTTAGAGGGACAGCCAACAGATCCAGAGATCAGAAAATCATGGGGATGGTGGAAAGTGAAAAAATGGACAGTTCACATTTTAAATCGGCTATATACTCGGTGAGTTTTTGCACGCGTGGTTGTTTTTCAACTGGATTTGTAGTTTTTGGACTCTCCTGATGGCATCTCTTGGGTTCACCTTAGGTTTGGAGATTTGAAGCTTCAAAAACCAGAAAACAAAGCCTTTGCTCAAATGTTTCAGAAGAATTATGCTGGCAAGATTTTGGAGTGCCACTTGAACTTGTTGAATGTGATCCGTGTAGGTGGCTACTTACCTGATAGGGTTACAAACCTTATTCTGCAATATCTGAGCAACAGGTTTGTGTAATTTGTATCCTCAATATCTTTAACTTTTCAATTCTTATCGTATAAAGATGCAATATCTCTTCATCTTGGCTTAAGTATCTTTTCTAGCTGCTTAACATGTTGGCTGTTATCAGTATCCCACTTGCACTGTATGTTACATGGGATATTGATGGATTCTTCCAGATTTTATGTGTGAATTCCTGAAATTGCGTGCTGGGCCATAGGTGTTTTGATAATGTACCACTAAAGGGAAAGTAGTTGGACCTTTCTCTTATTTGGTTTTCCCATTTTTCTTCTTCTTGGAATAAAAACATCATTGGATTCCTTATCTCCTTGCTTTATTCATATGTGATGTTAACGGACCCATGCATGTTAATGTGTTATATGATGCCATCTGGAAGAAATTAGGTTCCGGTAATTTTCTTTTTGGGCCCCTTACTTTTTTTTATTTGCTTTGCCTGTGGTAACTGCAACCTCTTCAAGAAGTTCTGAGCTATGTTTAAGATTATAATAGAACTAGAATAGCTTGATAAAAAAGAACTCTAAGCTTGAGCTTAGAAGGATTAACTAGCAAAACTAATGATTTTTGAAGAGGTCATGGGCATGAGGTATGAAATGCACTGATTTATTGGAAATCTGAATGACAAGAAAAACTCTTAAATATGTGCTTAGGATTTAAGTAGCTAAGGTGACTTTTTTTTTTAAGTTTTTGTGCATAAAGTATTAAATGTATCAACTTCTTGAAGAATTAATAACATTCTTAACCAACTGATGGTGACTTGGTTAGTTCTCTCTTGTCGTAGCAGAGACTTGGGATCAAATCCCGCTTCCAGCAGGGTTGAGGGGTTATGGGCATGAGGAATGGGATAGCCCCATTGGGTAGCCTAACCCAATGGAGCAAAAAAAAGAAATCATGGATGCTCCCAATCTTTCACTTTGTTGTTCATCTAAAGCAGAAGAGTGGTCTTGAGGTCATTTTGAACTAAGCCATTGTTCAATAGTAAATTTGTAAATAACACTCTTATTTTAGTGAATAAAGATCAAAACAGAGGTTTTTTCTTTTTGATTGTCTAACAAGAAAATATGATCCAAACAGAAAGTTATGAGAGAGAATTTGAATTTTTGTTTCCTACAGAAGAACTGATGGTCAATTTCTTACATATGATAGATATTCAGTGTCTCAGCACATTCTAATTGATAGAGCGTAACTCCAATAAATTTCCATTAATGGTCTCGTTTCAGCATTGTATTTTGTATGGAAAAGTGATGCCTTGTTCATCTGTTTTATTTTCAAATCCCTCTAATGAAATTAAATCTCATCACTACCAATGTTTTAAAACGTGGCATGACTTAAAGTGTTCTGCTACCCTAAGTTTAAGGTGTAGAGCAGAGCAGAATGCAAAAGGTGTATAAGCCTACTATGTATGGATTTTTTAATTAATAAACAATTAAAAAGAAAACAAATAGATAAGCAAAAAATATAATAAATATTGCAGAAATAGGAAGTATTATGAGAAACTTGAAAGTTTAAATTTGCAATGTTTAATAATAAAATTATCACATTTAATTCTAACTTAAACGACCACTACATCAAGTATCATAATCAATAATTATATAAGTATCTTTGGCTATCAATACATCACTTGCAAAGTTGCAAATCAAATTTTAGAATTAAAAATTGAAATAAGTTGCATAGTATTAACATACATAATTATGTCATCTCATAATCAAATGAATGTAAAGTATTGAAAGCAATCAAAGCAATGGTGTATGCTATATAATACTGTAATGACCAAGATGGAGGGTTTTCTTCATTTCTATTATTTTAATGTGTAATGGTAAAATGAAAAATGGTTGATGCACTTAATTATAAACTTTTATTATAAAAATGTCCTTAAAGGTATGAGCATATGAAGCGTACACCTTTCTAAGCTCCTTGAGACTAAGATTAGTATGCCTCAAGTGTGTCTGTGCTTTTCTGTACACTTCTGCACATTTTCTTAGCGCCTTGCTTGTGCTTCCAGCACCTTCAAAAACACGTATCTCTACTTCATCTCCCGGAAGATGTGCTTAGGGTACTTCTGTTGTTTAGGTCTGTTAAACCTGATTTTTGTATTGGTTTCTAGAAGATGATAATTAAAGATGTCCTAATCTTTGACCATTTGTTTCCTTTTTGAAACAAAAAATTTGTCTTGCCCTATACTTTTCTTTCCTTACTGTCATAAGTTGTATTTGCATGGTAATACATCTATTTGGATGGAGTATATTCACTCATTTTTCCATTTTTTGGCAGTATTTCAAAGAATAGTATGTATCAGTTGTTACAGCCACGGTTGGATGGTCTACTTTTTGAGATAATTTTTCCTCTTATGTGCTTCAATGACAATGATCAAAAGCTTTGGGATGAAGATCCACATGAGTATGTAAGAAAAGGATATGGTGAGCCCTGCCCTTTAAAAGGACTGTGATGTTGATCCTCCTCCTTCCTTCACTTTGGTTGGAACTTGAGTTATGATAGTTTGTCTAAGCCCCTTTTTTCTGCAGATATTATTGAAGATTTATATAGTCCTAGAACTGCTTCAATGGATTTTGTCAGTGAGTTGGTCCGAAAACGTGGTAAAGAGAATCTTCAAAAGTTTATTCAATTTATTGTAGAGATATTTAAGAGGTATCTTCTCACTCATACTATGATAAGATTGATATTATTTAATCTTTAAAATTGGAGAGTTGTTGATGTTTCCTATGCTATTCTAAAACAGATATGATGAGGCTCCAATAGAGTATAAACCTTACCGGCAAAAGGATGGTGCTCTTCTTGCTATTGGAGCATTATGTGATAAATTAAAACAAACTGAGCCTTACAAGTCAGAGCTTGAACGCATGTTAGTGCAACATGTTTTCCCTGAGTTCAGCAGTCCTGTTGGCCATCTTAGAGCAAAGGTTAATTACTTGAAGTGCTCTCTGTTTTCTTTTCATTGTTTTGATTTTATGAATTTCTCAAAGTTCTGTGCTTCCATTTGATCTGGCTTCTTGCATTTACTTTTAGTGCCTGCTTGGCTATGGATTTGACTGCTTAGTTGTATGGTTCATTCTTCACAGGGTGATGAACGTTATTGTTGATTCCTGGCTTGTTTGTAAACTGGATATATTTGAAATAAAATCATGTTATTCTATTGGCTTGAAAAATGAAGAGGTTGCGTGTTGTATTTGCTTTTCTACTTCTTTGGCTGGTAGTGTCAGTTGCTTATGTCCACAAAAATTCTTTGAAGACAGTGATTGATATGAGAACTGGGAGTTATCAGTTATCATTTATCTAGTGTCTCCCCAAACTTTAGAATTTGATATCAGTGGCTATTTGATGCCTCACTATTTTGCTGGTCTTGAATGGTAACATTAGCTTTATTTGATAACCTAGATTTTTTTATTTGCCATAGGGCGTTTTTTTTTCCTGGTTGTCTCACTAGTTATTTGTTGACTTTGTTGTCTTGAATGTTCATTTGTCAGTGATTGATTACTTACAAAGGAATGGAAGAAAAACCTCTTCATCCTGATCTAAATATGTCATGTCTAGGTTCAATTAAAAAATATTGCTTCCGTCCAATATAGACGATTAAATGAAGAATTAAGTTGTTGGTAAAGACATAAATGAAAGCCATTGATGCTAGCTGAAAGGTGATTTGGTGGGTGGTGAAATGAATTGATCCTTTATTGGGGCTCCTTGGCTGGAGCATTTTTATTGTTTTCCATGTATACACCACACACCTTGTAGTTGTAATCTTACTGCAACTGAATAGTTTGCTTGTCCCTTTTATATTCTCTTTTTTGTTTACTGCTAAACATGTTTATTGTGCATTTCCTGTGTTATACTTGGTTTCTGATTGTTGATTTTCAAGGCTGACTTATTTGATCTTTCTTGTTCTTTTATTTCCGTTGGAAATTTGATAATTTGAATTATTAGGCTGCATGGGTTGCCGGTCAATATGCACATATCAACTTCTCAGATCAGAACAATTTCCGCAAAGCTCTGCACAGTGTTGTTTCTGGGTTGCGTGATCCAGAACTTCCTGTCCGTGTTGATTCAGTTTTTGCATTGCGCTCTTTTGTTGAAGCTTGCAAAGGTATGTTATCCCTGTTTGAGTTTGATTTCTTTTATCTTTTCTCTCTCTGTGAATGTCTATGTGTGCATGGCAACAATTATCAATATCTGGTGCACATAAATAAAAGTTTACATCCTGTTGTGCAGATTTGGGTGAGATCCGTCCAATTCTTCCTCAATTACTTGATGGTATGTTGTTTGGAAAGCCTTAGTCATGATTGCAATTTGCAAAATAATCTCCCAAACTTCTGTCCGTATTGTTCATGAATGTTTAATGATTTCTGCAGAGTTCTTTAAACTTATGAATGAGGTTGAGAATGAGGACCTTGTATTCACTCTTGAGACCATTGTGGACAAGTTTGGTGAAGAAATGGCTCCTTATGCTCTTGGATTGTGCCAGAATCTGGTAACAAAAGTTGTTTTATGAACTTTTTTTATATCTGTCCGAGTGTTGTGGAATTTCAGTTCTATGCTTTTCTGCTTTCTGAAGCACTTTTGTCTTTAATTCTTTAGGCTGCTGCATTCTGGAAGTGTATGAACACCGCTGAAGCCAATGATGAGGCTGACGATACAGGTGCTTTGGCTGCTGTTGGTTGTTTGCGTGCTATAAGCACAATTCTAGAATCTGTGAACAGGCTTCCACATCTCTTTGCGCACATTGAGCCTACTCTATTGCCCATAATGCGCAGGATGTTGACTACTGATGGACAAGGTATACTTACTTTACTGACATAACTGGCTTTTCTTCTCGGTATACTGGATTATTGTCATATAGTTTAGGAAGGAATGAGTTGCAAATTTATATTTTTGAAATGCAATTTTAATGTACATTTCACCATTCACTAGTATAAGCATTAGATATCTTGTGCAGCTTAAATAACTCATTCTGAATATTTAGATGATTCTGGCGTACAGCTAATTCTTTTTCTCCCAGCTCACATTTGCTTACGTGCCATTGTCGTTTGATCCTCTGACAGAGGTTTTTGAGGAAGTTCTGGAAATTGTCTCATATATGACATTCTTTTCTCCAACAATTTCAATGGAGATGTGGAGTCTTTGGCCTTTAATGATGGAAGCATTGGCAGATTGGGCTATAGATTTCTTTCCTAGTAAGTTTGTTTTGACTAATAAGAGAGTGGTTTTGTTTACTATTCTTCGCATGTGGTTATGTCTGGATTTGACATCATTATGTTGTTCCTTGCTATTTATAATTTGTATATCTTCACTTTTTAGTATTGTGACTCTTAAGCATGAAGGTTGGTTATTGCACTGTCAACTCTATTTACTTAATGATCAAAACATGAAACTAGTGCATAAAGGAAATCACTATTTTTGGATGACCGTCAACTATGGAAGCTATTCTTTTACTTTGTAGATTAATAGATAAGTGTAGGAAATGGAGAAGGCATGCCTGCTTGGTATTTATTGTTTTGTGAAAAGCATGTGATAGGGGGTATCTACCATCTCGGGGAGTCATCTGGTGCATTTTTAGAGGTTTTCAAGTAGGTTTATATATATATATATGAAGGGGCAGTACCCCCAATGTGATAACTTAAGACGGATGATTGGTATTTATTCGATTGAATTAGTTGTGGATAAACTAACTAGACATTTATAGGAGGTTTCATGGTGTATGCTGTTTACTAATAATATAGTGTTGATTGGTAAGGCTAAAGGTGAACTGAATGTGAATATACCCCTAATAACTCTTCCAGTGCCTTTGATAAATCATTTATAATAATGAAGATTTTGAAGATGATGCATTAATAAAAATAGAAATTGAAGAGGATGTTCTCCATGCAAGTAGAGCAGGGTGGTTGAAGTAGAGAGGTGCTTTTGGTGTCGTATGACTGGCATAGTGGCATGTGCCAATGAAACTAGAAGGAAAATTCTACAAGACAACTCTAAGACAAGCACTGTTATGTGGAGTAGTGTCCGGCAGTTAATAATCATTTTAAAAAAGAGTATAGCTAAGATGGATGACAGAAATATGGTTGTAGTAAAAATGACTTAGGAGTAGGCCTAATTAGTAATAAAATATGGGCAAGTTGATCGAGGAATGATTTGGTGCAAGTAAAAGGCTCTAAAATGGCATGTGGAAAACAAAGGAAAATTTAGGCTGACATGGTAAGGAATTATCTAAGGACTGCAATTTGATAAAAAACATAGATATTGGTAGATCATGAAGGCGGGCAGTATTCATGTAGCCGTCCCCAAATGTTTGGGATTAAGACTTATCTGAGTAAATGTCTGGCTATGCTCTTTGAATTTTTATCACAAGCAGTTGGTTTGCTTATTATTGTGTCTGCAGGAGTTATATATTAAATTAATTTCAGCATGAGAAAAAATTTTGGTACCATGTTAACTATGTGACTTTGTAAAAGTTGCCAACTTGCATGCTTTAGCTAGGCTTATTGATTTTTGTTTGCCAAGAACACTATAACAAGAAAGTATTTTCTTATCAAATCAGTAATACTCTTTGTTACTATTTTGTTAATTTAAGCTTTTATTGGAGGGAATAGGGATTTTTTGTTAAACAAACAAGGGCTGTTTGCAGCAAATTTAAATCGTCCGTTGTATTAAGTTAATTTTGCTTTATGTGTAGAAGAGAATGTTCTCTGTGCATTTAAATGTAGTCACTTGAAACTCAAACATTTATGATAGAGGAGTGAAACACCTTATGTTCTTTCAATATTGTTATAGACTTTACTGAAAATATTCTTTCTTGCAATTCTTGTCTATATATGAGAAAATCTGAGATACCCATTCAAAGCAATATATTTTAGTTTTTAATTCATGCTATTTTCATTAAAAGAGGATTTTTTGTTCCTGCCAAGTGTACATATTGATCTTTTCGTTGGTCCAATAAGATAATAATCCTTGATATCCGAACAATATAATGCCACCTTCACATGCATTTTACTTTCTATAAGGGTGTGTGTACCAATATTGTAGTGTAATTTTCCAGAAAATGTTTTCACTAATGCAGCTTTCCGAAGCGTGTTTTTTAGTTTCTTCTACTATTGCATTCTGTTAAGTATATTTTCATTCTTTTGTTCCTTCTATGATAATGGTCTCATAAAATTTCTTTTATTACAGATATTTTGGTTCCATTAGACAATTACATATCCAGGAGTACTGCACATTTCCTAACATGCAAAGATCCTGACTACCAGCAAAGCCTTTGGAATATCCTTTCATCCGTGAGTCATCATGGTTTCTATGAACATTAATATTTTATTGCCAATCCAAGCTGTTTGAAAAACTAACTACACTAACGAGATTGAATTATGTTTACTCTAATTATTGTTATTATCCCTTTTCGATGATAATAACAAATGCATCGACTTTCAATATGTAGATCATGGCGGATAAAAATATGGAGGACAATGATATTGAGCCTGCACCCAAGCTAATTGAAGTAGTGTTTCAGAACTGTAAAGGCCAGGTGGATCAGTGGGTTGAGCCATACCTCAGAATCACAGTTGATCGGTTACGTCGAACAGAGAAGTCTTACCTGAGATGTCTTCTGATGCAAGTGGTGAGTATCCTGAATAATTTGAGCAGTCTTCTGCACACCACCACTCCAAAAAAATAAAAGAGATGCCTTAAAGCCCAAGTTTCTCTATAAACAGCACCTTAGTGGTTTGAGTTCTTCTTTCTTTATTCATCTATGGGCATGCTTTATGAGGATGGTATTCTTAATTATTAAACTAGCAAATCGATCATGCTTTCTGTGTGGACAATTACAATTGCTTTAATAATTAAAGTTTGTTTGCTGATAAAAAAAGGTTCTAGGTTTCTAGCCAGAGGATAGCTGTCTCCATACATGAGCCTGTTATTGTAGGTCTTCTAATTTGACATCTAGGCTTCAATTTTGTGGGTTCTTAAATATCAGTTTGACATCTCTCTCTATAAATTACCACTAGATTTTTTTATTGCTAAATAATGAACACTGGATTGACGAAAGTGAAATCAGAATCAATGAATGGTCTCACTTGTATATATTTATAATCCAGAGGAGACCATTTAAAGGTGGATTGTTCTGTCGTATATCTTTTTTAAAATAAATATCATGTGAATTGGTTTAGTGAAGCCTTCTAATGGCGTGTTTGAATTCTCCATTGTGGTATCACATAATAATTGGGAAAATGCCATGTCTCACTGTTTAAAGAGAGACACAATTAGAATGATTATAGGTAAAAAATCACAAAAGGGAAATAATCGTGTTAATCCTATGTCAAGATGTTGTAAAGACAATCAGTGTTCACAACTGTATTTTGTCCACACCTTCACTCCCTGAATATTATCCAAGTAGACTCTCTTTCTGCAACTTTTATTTTTTTTAATGCTTTTCTTTTTTCCAATGTATTCTCCTATGAGTTATAAAACATGGGCCATAAGCAAGATTATATCCATGTCAGAGATATGTCAAAGATAATGTGGTTGATCACTTGCTTATGTTTTTTGTTGTGTTTTTGTAGTGGGTAAACACTTAAGCTACCTGTTTAGGTATCAATTTTTTCCTTTCCCCTGTTTATAACCTCAATATTTATGGAGTTTTTGCAGTCAGCATAAAATCTTTTTCCAAGCTCCTTTGAACATGGATCCTGAAATGTCATTTTGTGCACATTCTTGGAAATTTCCTGGAAGTGACAACAGACAACCTGAACTTGGTAAGGAATGGGTGAGTGTATGTTAGGGTGTTCCCCAAAAGTGATGTCCTACAATATTGCCTGGTTGTGGTGAGAAATAGGCAAGGGTTCCCACATCTTTTTAGATGATGGTGGGTAAAAAAGTTGGTTAAAGTGACAAAAAGTTTGACTAACTACATGGAATGTAGGAACATCATTAGGAAAAAATATGAAATTAGTAGATGCAATATACCATTCTTATAAGGAACTAAATGAATGGAAAAGCTAAAGAAGTTGATGTCTGCAAACCATGGAAAAAAGCTAAAGAAAGATGTCTGCAAACTATGGTACAAATACATGTTTACCTCCACTCAGAAAAAGCAAGAGTAGTTTCCTCTACTCCCCAAAAATGTCCTCACTTCAACTGTTGTGGGACCCGTTCCAATAATGACCAATCTTTCTAATATAATCTCCTAATTCAAAGAAAAGAATCACCATGATGATTTTCAATTGTTTAAGTGATGTGGGTCTCATTCTCTTAAATAAATGGGTCATCAATTACAAATTAAACCTGATTTAATCTAATAAACTAAATAGGAAATCATTTATCAAAGAAAAAATAATAAATAAAAGGCAAATTTATCACATGAATAGTGATATGCGCGTACTGATACTTGCCTGCCTCTTCTTTCAGAAATTATCAATTACGCGGTTGTCGACTTACCTTGACTCAAAAAAATTAAGTGGTTACTCCACTCCCTAAAAAAGTGCTTATTTCAATTGGTGTAGGACCCATACCTATAACGATCAACCCTTTGTTGAACAAATTGACCAACCCACCAATTGCTGGAGGAAATGCCACCGCATTGGTGAACAAAAACAAATTTTGTTGAAGGTTTCAAAGTTGCATCTCCTTTGTTTCTCAAATTTAGGGGCGGGGGGAGGTGCTATATTGTCTTCACTTTTGATGAACAAAGTATGCTTGTTGGTTTGCAGATAGCTGATGCTCTTTACTACAATCCATCTTTGACACTCGGTATACTTCAAAAGCTTGGGGTTGCAACAGAAGTATTTAATCTATGGTTTCAAATGTTGCAACAAGTAAAAAGAAGTGGTGTTCGTGCAAACTTCAAAAGGTTACATCAAACACTCGTTTTCCTCTGATATAATAATGGTTGTTATTAGTGCTGTTATTGCTTAGAAAGAACCTGACTATATGTTCCAAATCATGGGGTGGCTGCAGGGAACATGACAAAAAAGTTTGCTGCTTGGGATTGACATCACTTTTTACTCTTCATGCGGATCAATTACCCGCGGAAGCATTGCTACGTGTTTTGAAGGCAACACTTGATCTGCTTGTTGCCTACAAGGAGCAAGTGGCTGGTATTTATTTGATTTATTATATGAAGTTATTTTAAATTTTCCCTCTCTGGGCAACTAGTTTTTATTGTTTTTTGGAATTAGCCAATGAAGGTAGATGGTTATCAGATTTCTTTGTGGTCAGCACGTGCACCTTAAGAATTCTAGTAGTTAGTATCTTTCTGTTTTATTATATTACTTTTTTCAACGAGAGCTTTCCGTGATGGTGGGCCTGTTGCTAGTGTAATAATTGTTTTTTTTTTCCATCTTGACTACTTAATTTATTTTGTTTTGTGTGAACAGAAGCTGCCAAGGAAGAAGATGCTGAAGATGATGATGATATGGACGGCTTTCAATCTGATGATGACGATGATGAAAATGAAGGTTCTGACAGGGAAATGGGAGTTGATGCTGAGGATGGTGATGAAGCTGACAGTGTTAGGCTTCAAAAATTAGCAGCTCAGGTCTTTGAATTATTGAATCACTACATCTTATTTAGATTTCATACGAAAACCAATGTTATGAGGCAAGATCATGGACATTGGTGCAATGTGGCTGCTAGTTTGTGTGGGTCAAGCACCTGGATCCTCTGGGACAAAAGTTGATGGTTATAGAGGCAATTACCCAATATTGGTCCCAGCTATTTTGGGTCTTTGGAGGGGGGTGGTGGGTTGGGGGGAAGCTGGATATTGGTCCTAATCTTTGGCACATTTTTGCACAAAGTGGTTGTTCTCAGGCTTGAATCCACATTCTCATGCTTGCCGGCCTCGGGCATTACCATTACAACAAGTGATGTCCCCTTATGTTATAGAAATTTTAAAAATAAAATTGAGGGGGGTGGGGGGTGGATGGGTACTGGCCTACTGGGTAGGAGGGAAACTGGATATGGTCCTAGCCGTTGGCACATTTTTGTACAAAGTGGTTGTTCTCAGGCTTGCCAGCCTCGGGTAATACCATTACAACAAGTGATGCCCCCTTAGGTTACAGAAATTTAAAAAATAAAATAGAGGGTTGATCTAGTTGTCTCCATATGTTGGTAAATCTTCCCCCTTCAAAGGGATTTTACATTTTGAATTTTAAGAAAAATTCTATAAAAAGAACATTTTCTTTTGCATTGTTTTGGAGGTTGGTGGTTAGTTAATGATTTGAAGCATGAGTTTAGAGAGAATTTTTATTTTCCTTTAAAACTGACTTGGTCCTGGTTCAATGGGTTAACGCAATAGTATAGGGGCATCACTGGCTGGGTTTGGCTTAGCACCTATAGTATATGTACAGCATATATGTTACAATATATAAATATAAAATATTATGTGTCATTTTATAATAATGTGCATGTATGTATAAAGTATAAATATGTAATACATAAATATATTGCAGGCTGGGCCTGGGCTGGGTCTTAACACAATCCAGGCTGAAGAAGCCTGGAATTTTGCAAGCTTGGTCAGGCTGGGTTAGAAATGATCACCTCTATTTCATAGATAAAGTAGTGTTGCCCATGTAATTTTGTCAAAATGTAATCAGTGCGAAACTCCAGGCAGGTGGTTAATCTGCACGGTTTAGGGCCTGGATAATAGCGCAGGTGGTTGAACATTTCAGTTTGGGGTAGGTTTACCACATGAAAGGGTGATGTGCAACGCATGGAGCTGTTTTAGGTTTCAATATTGAACTCCATATATTTATCATGGCCCATGGTAAATTTCATTATCAGTAGTATATAACTCAAGTTTGCAACACCTATGTTTGATGAGGTCCTCCACTAGTCATTAAAAAGGGTTTTTTTTGGGTGTGGGGTAGTCAGATGCTTATTTTATTACAGATTTGTATATTATTGTTTGGTTGGCTTTTAAATACCAATATTTGGTTCTGTTCCTCTACTGAAACATGAAAAAATCTCACCATATGATAAAAAGCTGTTTTGACAGGCCAAGGCATTCCGTCCCAATGATGACTCAGATGATGATGACTCAGATGATGATTACAGTGATGATGAAGGGTTGCAATCACCAATCGATGAGGTGGACCCATTTGTCTTCTTTGTTGATACCATGAAAGGTAATTAAGAACCCCCACCCTCCAAAAAATAAAAAAGAAAAACATTCTATTTGGTACTATTTTTTTTGATAAATATTTCACACTATATTTTTTGACACCCTATTTAGTGTTAACTGACTTTAATCTTGTGTTCCTAGTATTGCAAGCATCAGACCCAGCACGGTTCCAGGGCCTTATGCAGACGCTTGACTTCCATTATCAGGCACTGGCAAGTGGTATAGCCCAGCATGCAGAGCAGAGGAGAGTTGAGATAGAGAAAGAGAAACTGGAGAAAGCGGCTGCCACCTAATGTTCCTAGGTGATTTCATGTTGAGGCTTAATATTTTGCTATTCTCCCTTAGTCTTGCCGAATCCATTTTTTATTGATTGCAAGTCCCCGAAGGAGGTATTGGTTCATTGTCATGGAGGTCAGTGATCCAAAGGGTCTTAAAGTAACTGGACCATAACGAGCCCTGGGTCCCGAAGAGAATGATGCAGGCAGCAGAGTCGGGACTGTATTTTCATTGCTGTGGTGCTTCCACATGCTAGAGCGCATGTTGGGTAAGTTGTCCTCCGTTGGGTGTGGCTATTCTATGGCAGAAGAGTCTGTGCCCATCAGTTTTCGTGTCCTCTCTATATATTCTTGTTGGAGTCGCATCAATATTTGTTGGGAAGAAAATTCCCCTTTGCTTTTTTCCCTTTTTTAGTTCTTCCTTCTTTTCCCTACCCCAGTTTTCTCTCTTCGGTAGACCCTAGTCACAATGAAGTATATTTGTTAAGAAACCCTTGGATCTGCTGTCTTTTGTGTGATGCAGGGAGGGTTTCAAGTATAGAGTGTACATGATTGTTCCTTTTTTATTTTTTTATTTTTTGTTAATGACCGATCTGCACTGAATCTGTTGATAATTTTTGGTGGAGGGTTTTGTAGTCTATTTCTTGGTTGAGGGTTTTGGTTTTTCTGTGCACATTCACCTTTGCTGGCGGTTGCTGCGGAATGTATGACAGCTCTATTTATTCTTTACAACAAGTGGTCACAATTGAAAATTTGGGTTCTTTTTTTATAAGCCTTAGTGGTCCTTGCCTTAGATCCCTTATTTCAGCCTTTTCAGGGTTTTAGCCAAGGGTTTGGCGGAATATAATCCCAGTCTTGCTGAATTAATTCCCATGTATGCCGTCTCCTCACAATAATTCAATTCTGGATTGCTATGTTGAAACTTCGAAAGATGTGTCATGTGCATCTTTTTTCCTAATTTTGATGATGGGAAAGCTTGATTGTTTTAGCAAAATCAAATCTGAATTAATTCCCATGCCAAATTTGTTTGCCGTCCATTCTATCCTATAGATAGATATTAAGAGATGTGAGGTTTGGATGGTTGAATAAATAGTCTGGTGACCTTGTGACTTGTAACTCTAAGTTTTCATCATTGCCGGTATTTGATGATTTTATAACCAAAAAACCATATTTGTGACGGAACATACTTTCAAGTTTTAACTAGTTACGGAATTAAGAAAGAACATTTGATTACGGTCAATGCTAATTCTGGCCCCATTATGTGGATTGGTGGAAGTAAATTCTTAGGAATATGAGATGATGTGTGGCGGGTTAGAACGGGAAATTGGGAGGTGCTGTTTTGTCTTTCTTGGGTTTCTGAATTCTCAGTGAGATGTTGTATAGGTTTTGAACCGACTTTACTCGTTCAAATTCCTAAGCTTTTATACTTTGCCCCACTACCTGGAGCTTTGCAATAGGGAATTTCAAGGTGAAGCTTGTCAGTTTGAATCATGGGGTTTCATGAATCATCGGGAGCAGAGAGCGAGAAGTTTTGGCATTAAAGATGTAATATAAAAATGACATGATTTATTGCTGACAAAAATGTCATTATTTAATATATTGGACTTTTGGACCTTGGTTTTAAAAAAAAAATGTTGGTCCCAACTCCTATGTCCCAGCCACATGGTGTTTGGTCTTTTGGAAGCTTTCTTTATGGGTCCGGGGGGTGGGGGGTGAGCGATTGGAAATTTGGAATATTTTCATTTTCATTTTTTTTTTATGTTTTGTTCTTTTTATCAGAGGATGCTAATAATTTTATCTCGCTTGTCATTCTTGGGATTTTTCCTTATGCTCTGTTGGTTGTAATGTAAATGCAAATATGTACACTACATATTGGTTCATGATTGCAAATATGGTTCACATTTTAAATCGTTTTTGCATTCACCTTGTTTGTTTGAAATCGGTGCAAAAGTGTGGGCCCATCATTAAATGCTCCAACCATCTTATGCTCTAATACATTAATTTTGGTCAAAAAGTTATAATTATCAAAAGAATACGAAATTATATCCAAAAAGTAGGTACATTAATACTCTCTTTTAAGAGTACAAAAGTGTCAAAAAATACAATTTTGCTCTGATAATCATTACTTTTTTATGTTTCAAACAAATGCTCGCAAACATAAATACCTGGTTCAGCGTTTGTATCACAAACAAATGGAACCTTAGGCTCAGTTTGAAATGACTACAAATACAATTATATAGAGTGCAAAGTCTTGCATTTTGTATATATTTGCACTGTACATATTTGTATTTCTACTCTTTCCAAACTGAGTTTTAGCCTTTTTCAAGTTTTCAATATAATGCAACAAAATCAGATTCAAGGTTTAAAAAATTGACACATATCGGGAGCACCCCAATATGCCCGTACAGAGGGTGTATCGGGGTTTTGACCGGTTCAGGGGTGGAGGTACCTTAAACCGCCCCTCTGAACCAGATTTGAAAAAAAAAAAGTAATGATACGCCCCTACCTGCATATCAAGCGTATTGATATTTTAAAAACCTTGATCAGATTTCTGCATCACCTTTCCATCATGCGGTCTTTTCTTGGACTAATCCCCTATTAATTGGCTGAAAATCAACTTTGATGGGGGTATTTCTTCTGAAAATGCTAGAGCTGGGGTTTGTCTTTAGGGCTTTGTTTGGTTGTAATGCAAATAAATTTGCACTGATGCAAAACTGTGGCAGTGCAAATGATTTTAGTGTAAATTCTAGCATATTTTTCTTTCAAATTTTAGCTTATTTTGCTTGATTGCATTACAAATGAAGTAAATTAAGACATGAAGCAGAATAAAGTAAAACCAAGGTTCAAAATATTGATATGCCCGATGTGCTGGTAGGGGTGTATCGGGCAATATCGATACTATTTTTATACTTTTTTTGAAACTGGTTCAGGGGGTGGTTTAAGGCTCCTCCCCCTGAACTGGTCAGAACCCCAATACACCCACTGTAGGGGCGTATCGGAGAGGTCCCAGAACGATACGTATTGGTCGATACGGGCCGATACTTGTCAATACTTTGAACCTTGAGTACCCATAACAAAATTAAATAAAAATGTGCATTTTTTTTTTCATTTTGCACTACCATACGTTTGTGCTAGTGCAAATAAAATTGCACTGCAACCAAACACAGCCTAGAGTAAGGGTAGTTCCCCTACTTTTGTTCTCATCAGTGGAGTGTGAAACTAAGGCATTACTTGAGGCTCTAGAATCCATAATGTTTAGACTAAGCACCTTTGGTATGCCTTGTTGCCTAGGCAACATGTTGGCAACTAGGTCATCATCTGCTATATCTTCAGCTTCAAACCTTATTCTTCTTTACTTACACCTTAAGGGTTAATTAAAAAGCATCATAAAGATCATAGGTTCCAAAGATTTCCAGTAGAGAAGATAAAAACCATAGAATCACTTACCAAGTTGGTAGAAAGAAGAAATCACTCAAATTCTCATTCATAGATTTGTGAAATCAAAACAAGCATGTATTTGTGAATCAGATCCTAATAGCTAATGGGTGTGTGGAAAAGAAGAAAAAGAGGGGTGGAAAGGGCTTTTTGTAAGTTGGACCTAAAAAAGGCTTATGATATGGTGAATTGGTCATTTCTCCTTGACATTATGGAAAAAATGGGGTTGGGAACCCATTGGAGGAATTGGATTAAAAGTTGTATTAGCTCTGTACACTATTCGATTTTGATAAATGGAGTAGGTAGAGATTTTTTTTTTTTTTAACAAAAAGGGGCTTGAGACAAAATGACCCCATATGCTCTTTACTTTTCACACAACTTGCTGAAGTTTTAAAGTATGTTGATAGTAAAATTGACTTGGCAAATTCTTTTAGTGGTTGGAGGGTGGGAAGGAATGACATAGTTGTGAGCCACCTTCAGTTTGTAGATGATATAATTGTGTTTGTGATGGTTGTGATGAAGGAAGCTTGAATAGCCTAAAGGAAATAGTTAATACCTTCGATAGGGTTTCTAATCCAAAGGTGAATTGGGGAAAAAGTTGTGCTGCAGGACTTGATATTAGCGAGGTTGAGGTTCAGGCAGTGGYAGGGATCCTAGGATGTGAGGTTAGAAACTGGCTTRTAGAATACCTTGGACTACCTTTGGGAGGCAAMACGAGGGCTGAGAGTTTTTGGAAACCAGTGGTGGAAAATGGCTGGGATGCAAAAGTGGCTCCTGTTTTGGGAATATTTGTGGCTTGGTGAATTACCCTTGAAATTGCAATTCCCCATGCTCTATTCTCTTTCTACTTATAAATTTGAACTTATCTCAAAGTTTGGTCCTGCCTCCCCTTCAGGGTTGAATTGGAGGGGCTTGAGGGATATTGAATGTGAGGCTCTTGTATTGTTATTAGCCAAGCAGGATAATATTTTCCTGGATCAGAACTTAGAGGACACTACAATTTGGGCTCCCTCCCCTAGTGGCACCTTTTCTTGTGCTTATTTCTTCAATTTTCTCATTCAATTTGGGCTCCCTCGTTTACTTATTTCCTGTCCCTTTGTATTTTATATTTGGGAATATCTGCTCTCTCATTGGTTGTAAATGGATTCCCCCTCAAGATGTGGTAAACCTATTCAGTCCCAATTTTGTGAGGCAGCCAAAGGAAAGTGGGAGAATTATGTGAAAGGTCAAGGTAGTATGGGCAGCAGTAGTCTGGTCTATTTGGGAGGAGCAGAACCAAAGAATCTTTTTGATTTGAGCAGAACCAAGGAGGAGTCGATAGAAGGCATTACAATAAGATTTGAACATTGGATAAAAACCTTGGACTTCGTCCGATCATTCTGTCATTGATATTGTAAATTCTTGGACAGTCGTGGCACAAACAGGAAAAAGGAAAAGGTGCATATGAATTGGACTCCACGCTGACAGCAAAATAAAATTGAACTTTGATCGAAGTTCCATGGGTAATTCGGGCAGAGCAGGTATAGGGGGTGTACTCAGGAATCACTTGGGTTAGGTGATGGCATTGCCCTCCGGGCCAATTGGTAATGGTGATTCAGTTAGAGCTGAACTACTGGCACTGGCTAAACAGTGCCAAGAATATCAAATAGCAACCCTCCAACCCAACCTATCAAATAGCCCCAAAAATCTACTAAGAGACACAAAAACATAGAAACACCTCCAGCAAATCAACAACCAACAATTAACCATTATTTGAGGCCGATACGTGTCAATACTTTGAACCTTAAATACCCATAACAAAATTAAATAAGAATTTGCATTTTTTTCCATTTTACACTGCCATGCGTTTGTCCTAGTACAAATAAAATTGCACTGCAACCAAACACAGCCTAGAGTAAGGGTAGTTCCCCTACTTTTGTTCTCATCAGTGGAGTGTGAAACTAAGGCATTACTTGAGGCTCTAGAGCTTGCTGTGGACCTAAATCTGAATTGTATTATTTTCGAGGGAGATGCACTGCAAGTAACTTCTTCTCTGTTGGGGGAAGATGTTTCTCCTCTTTGGCGAATCACCAATGTTATTGCCGATTGCAGAGAGCTTTTAAACTCAATCTCTGCTTCTCGGTTACCCACATTAAAAGATGGCTCATAAGCAGGCTTTCTATTCTCTTTTCTCTTTCTAGACCTCATACCTGGTCATTGCCACCTCGGTTTATTTCTTCGGATTTAGATGCT